TTTTTCCATAATTTCTCTTCTTTTTGAGGAGCTATTGAGGAATGGCTATTGTGTTCTGATGACTGTGGAAAAGCTGTGTCAGTTACCGTGCATTGCACCAGAGACTGTTTCCAAACAACTCCAGAAGACACTCGTCACTCAGGGTAACAAGCCGACCGACTTTGGGCTTTTTTCTCGAGTTTCTGGACATCGGCAACCAAATGTTTGCCATGTCGTGAAAGACACTCTGGAGTCCATCGCAAGACGTGGGCTCTTGCCGCATCGCTTCCACTGACGCGTTTTCTGGGTTTCAGAATCAAGAGTAGCCAAATATGTTTTCAGTCAAAGTCGATTTTTTTCAGCCATAATCGCTGCGAAATACCACGGCAGATGCTCTGGAGAGATCATTCGACTGGGGTTCACATACGTTTTACAATGGATGTTCAAAAATTATCCCTGGAGATTTCACAACATACACATGGAAATGGGCAAAGACTTTCAGGACAACCTAATACCACCCATTCAAAAACTAGATGCTTGTCGAGTGCAGACCACACACCACAAGTGACGACGGCTTCCACAAAATGTAAATGTTTTTTGCCAATTAATGATTACATTTGCAGATGTATTCTATCAGTTGTCACTGATTACATAATGTGGCATTTTTTGTCCTTTTTTTAACAACTCTGTCACTAATGATTTTCCCTTGCTTGAGCTCAGTTCGTGTTTTTTTCAGGCAGCATTTATTTAGCTCCGGAATTTTGGTCCAACTTGGATCCTGGTCCACCTACTATGACAGAGTTTGATACCTAGAAAAAAAAACAATAAAATGCTTTCCTTTGTTTTCCTTTGTTCTTCCCCATTAAAAGGTCTGAGGCATTAAAGAACGTTCTTTATCGGCTTCAATGAGAAACAATAGAGTCCATACAGTACAACAAACCCCCACACGCGTAATGCACCGAATATCGATTTTCAAATGGGGGAAAAATAAGTGTGAATGGCGAGGATGAGGGACAACACATGAGAAATTGGAACGAGTAAGCGAGTAAAACAGTAATACATATTGAGGTGTCGTAAAGCTAAGGACAATGAGGCAGCGCAGGAGGAAGTCCACGTCTGAAAGTGCAGCGGGAGCCGTATTACAGTGCCGTGACATACACTCACACACCTACAAAAGTCATACCGATAATACAATACAACAGTTAATGAATAGATATTGCTGATGAAATGACAAGTAATCAATTTATATACAAGGAATGCACACAGACCGACGCGTGCGTGTTGCGCGCGACGGAATCAAAGCGACAACGATAAAGCACAAGACTTTTGGGCCTAGTTGAGAGAGACGATAGACGATAGTGATGGTTGAAGGAAGGAGGAAAGAACAAAAAATGCAACAATTAAATAAAAAATGGGATAATACAATTTCACTGAAGTTCATCTTCCAAAACAGTTAAAGGAAACAGTTGTAAAGCAGATAAATAATAAGCGATAGTTACCTGATTACAATATTAAAAAAATGCCGATCAATATTGGGCTTGATGAGGAAAAGAGGGGTCATTACTATCGAATATCGCTGACATGAATGCGGTCAACCGTCCGTTGGACAAGTCAACGTAGATGGAAGGGGGGCACGTATTTGGGGGGTGGATAAAAGAGGGCGGTCGATTCCGATGGTAGCGTAAACGTGTTACCAGTACGGAAGAGGTTTATTCAATGAACGGAAGCGGGCGACACATTCACGGAATTTTGGATCGAAAGATCGACGGCAATTCGGAGGATAGGAAAACTGGCGGAGTGAGGCGAGGTGTCAACTAGTCTCAGAATAAAAACTTAAGAATACTATGAATCCCCCCCCCCCCCAATGAATGGGATGTAGGAGGCCGAGGAGGATGGTGGTAAAGGGTAACCCTGAGGGAGAGATCGTATAGTAAGCACCTCGTAGAAGGAGGTCGTAAAATTTTCGAAATTGGTCCAACGTGATCCTGGTGAATGGTAGGAGTACAGCTATGAACGCCCCCCCCTCCTTCCTTGTCCACTCACAACAACCGAGTGGTGTCAAAAAATCGATAGTGATGACCGCCTTTTGGGAAGTGCGTTTGTGATAGTTATACCACTAGTGTGAGAGATTCAAATGACACACATTAAAACCAGTTTAAAATATCCATAATATCGTGAAAAGCAGCCCTGATGAGAAAGAGACGACAGAGAAGGCTGTGATGTGATTATGAGATTATCTCCTAGCGATTTGTTGAGGACAAAGGCTGAGTGATGAAGTCTGTCAGAATTGACCTACACCGTTATGACGCATACGTTTCCACGGTTTACTGAGTTGATTTTGTGACGCCAACGTTTAATGGGATATTTATGACAGATTTGCACCTAAATAGGAAATTTTCGGGACAATATTCTAGACCCAGAAATATTTTCAAACTCATTTCACATGTCCTCACATATGCTATTAATTCGAAGCGTGCGCGTGCACCACCATGTGGCGCACGATTCCACACAAAAAAAGCTAAGTTTATGTGATTTTTGGCACTCTTCACAGTTCCTTGAAACTTTTTGTACTCATTGGTCAAAATCGGAAAACACGTTTCACCACTGCATATAATTTGTTGGTAAATTAAATGATGGGTTCATTTCCAAAAATATGTTTTAAAAAAAAAATCCGTATATACCGTACAAACGGGCGGCAACCAACGGATTAGAACTCAGAAAACACTTTATAAAAAACTGAACCGGCCATGCGACCGACGGGAATCGTCCTCATTGAACGTGCGACAATTACTGAACATCAGCTCCATATCAGCAGCAAAATCTTCTGGTGTCTCGTAACTGAACATTATATTTTCAGCAAAAAACTCCCAACTATTGCGGATGTCTTAACAATAAACTATAAACAAAGTTAAAGAAGAAGAAGAGGAAGGGGTAAAATTAAGATATTAACTCACCAACTGGGCTTTCAATCGTCCTAATTGATGCCATATCAATGGGATTCGCAATCACATCCCGATATCCAGGCACTAAATCGAGATCAACTGGCTCCAAGAATGGACCGACACCAGGCTGGCACTCCAGTTCGTCCAGCATTGCTCTAAACATCCACAACAGTCAATTTTTTGGCAAACATGGTGACAACTAATGCCAGAGAAGGGACAAGGACTATGCTGAAGTGAGCTTCACTTCCACAGAACCTTCTAGAGGGGATGGAGGGATAAAAAATTACGTGAATATTCTCCCACTTAAAAGCGCACTACTGAGCATTCCTACTGAACACTAATGTCATCTGCCTCGCCTTTCGAATAGCTGAAATAATTACCGACATAAAAAAAAAAATGCCCTTTAGCGGATGCAGCTTGTAGTGAAACTATTCCGCCAAGACCTCTCCACAGCGTATCTAATGGTTCCGTGCTACATTCGCGTCCGGCATGTTAGTGGAACTATTCTGCCAAAGAGCTTCTTCCACCAACAGTAATCCAATGGTCCGTCCGCACCACATCGAGTCGGCATGGTACAAGGATTTGTTTACTAGGGCGGAAAATGACCCAAACAAAACTCAGCGAACAAGTGATGCATGAAACCTTGGAAAATGAACACCCAGTAACCTGCTCTCCTCATATACATTTAATGCAGGACCAAGCAGCCATGCTTACCTGCACAAGTCGTTGTTCATGTCCGTGGGGAACACAATCGGAGGCGGAGCATCAGCTTTCCGTTTCAGAGCTTTTCGCGAGTCTTTGTTTTGTACAGGGTGATGCGAGTGGTTCTGATGGGGATGATGATGGTGATGATGGTCCGACGGATCGGCCGAATCATCCGCTTCAACGAGATCGTCGCTTTCACCATGGGCAATCACTCGGCGTTCAAACAGCTGAAAACACGTTTTATTAACTTATATACAATGAAAATGTAGCACGATCTGCTGATTGTGAAAACGACCAGGCACAATCGGCAGACCAGTTTAATAAAACTGCTACACAATGACTGGTCTTCGTAATGTGCACGAAGAACACAGCATGTGATTGCTTCCAAATTTTGAACTATTTTTAAAATGAGCGCATGGACGGCTTCATGAAATTTAACGCGTTTCATAAAGCTGCACTTCCCTTACCAAGCCTCAAGAAGAAAAGAATGGCCTACCTTTGGATCACATCCACGACACATGAAATCGTACTCGTAAGAGACATCGGCTACACATTCCGCATGGAAGAAATGGTAACATTTCCTGAAGGAAAAGAAAATGACGAAAATTTAAAAAAAATCAATAAGAAAAAACAAATAGAACTGAAGTTGAATTGAGCTCAAGCCCGATTTTATGTCGAAATTTTGATTAGAAAACAAAGCAAAAAAAACTTCGCGAAGCTTCAAAATGGTTTCAAAGAAGATTTAACTTAAGATAAAGGGCCTTAGACCTAACTGTTCAAGATGATCGATTTGAGTAATTTTCACGCTACAATACTTTTAGCCGCTTATTTTGTAGTGATGAATCTTGCGGCTCACCAAACGCACAGTTCGGGTATCAAGTCCCTGCTCAGGTCCCATCCGAGTCAATCAAACCTCTCATCCCTCCAGGATTGTTCAATCAGTACACATTAATTAGAATCAGGACCCATTTGTGGGTCAGAAACATTGACTTGTACATCGGTTGGCCCCACAAGCCTGACGCAATAGGAATTTCCGTGGCGCCATCCAGAAAAGACTGATCATTAAGGACAACATTTCGGATCAACTTCAAGTCGAATTATCAGAACCAATAATATTTCACATACGCCGTTTGTCGATACAATCTGGGCTGAATAATTCAGTAACCCGGATAACTGTAATGATGATAAAACGAACATATAAGGATAAAAAGGATAAAGCATTTGCCGTTGATCAATCCCTTTTTGGGATGCGGCACGCATTCTACTTCCATTTGTACATTCGCAGTGGCGTTTGAATGCGATGTGGCCTATACAATGACTTGCGGGGGCCAGCCGATGTTCAAGTCAGTGTTTTTTATCCTCCCAGACAAGTCTGGTACCAATTAACCGACCCCGGAGGGATGGAAGGCTTGGTTGGCCCGGGCGACTCACGACCCAGGATTTGATCCCGGACCGCTCGCGTGGTGAGCGCGCCACTTGTCACTACACCACTTCCGCCCCCGAAATTAATATATCCTTGAGAAAAGCGATATGCGAATCATAAAACACTAACCGACAAGGCTTAAATAGTCATGTTGTTGGGAACAAACGAGGCATGTTGGCACTTGCGTCGACGTCTCAACACAAGCAGGACAAAACCATTCACGTGACGGTGGCGACTGAAAAGGGATCAATTAGGCTTGCGCGTAGTGCAGTGGTAGATGTGATGTTATGGGGACAGCCGTCTGCTGGTTCGATCCCCTCAGTTAATCTTTTCCACCAAAATGGGTATAAAACGACTGAAAGATTTTAGCGTGAGTGGATAGCGACTTGATTTAGCCTTCAAGCTGATAGACACAGTAATACATAGTGATCGGTAAAATGGTTGCAATGAACCCTTTAGTCTACTCCACTAGCGTAAGCCGTGCTCTTGGTCCTAACAGATTCTTTGGACTGATTTATAGAGCACAGTCCATATTCATGTACGCCTGTAAATTATGGTGGGGACTGTGCGAGCAGACTCGAATGATAGCTTCTTATGTTCTCACGCAAATTTAGCGCCCTCTCCCTTACGTTATAAATTAGGAATCGATCAATAAATCAATACCTTGCAACAACCCTGATGATAACTAAGACGACATGCTGTGCATCGCAGGGCGGACGGCTGATCGCAGCGCTTCCGACAGATTTGACAGAGTCGCAACGTTGGTGCCAATTCCCACGCTATTGAAGAGTTCAGCATCTGGAACACATGAAAATTTGAATATCGATTAGGGCTTCTATGGCAGAGTTGCAGATTAAACTTATTAGCCAAGCATTTATAACCAAATATGCCAAAGTCGCTTACTTTTACTATTCGCCACTTCAGCAACAGCTTTTGAAATGGGAACAGCCGTCAAACATGCACTAGGGTTACGGTAACACCGTTTACCCGAGCATGGGTGAATTATGGCAACAACATCAGGCCCTGCTTTTTTAGGGTCTAATATGTTTTCTACAAAGCGTACAGCTTTTCTGCAAGTAGTAGCGGATAAAGTCGTTCGTTTCTGCGCCTCTGATCCTCGAACTACCCTTTTCCCTGGGAATCAATAAGACCAACCCAGCGCTGATACTTCTTCGAAGATTTCATGATGACCCCCCCTCCTCCCAGAGGGAAGTATCGACGGTCCCATCAGCACCTTGTTTTGACCGCAATTGCAAGGAACTTTAGCAGAATGGTAAGCTGTTACG